TCTGTGAAGTCTCTTCGTAGTTGTTTTGGGTTTCTTTGAAGTCTCTTGGTAGTTGTTCTGTAGATTTTTGCGTCTCTTTGTAGTTGTTTTCGGTTTCTTTGAAGTCTTTTCGTAGTTGTGTTGTTTATATGATAGGTATTATATGATAAAAAGAAAATGTTTGTCAAACCACATCAGCCAGTAATAATATTTTCATAATGATGCTAAGTAGTAGTAAAAGCTTAATATTGCCTTTGATGTGGGTAGTTAGCTCCCCCTTGATGCTGCTGGTTGAACGTTACATCATAGCTGCAGTGTGTTTACATCTTGCTGGTTGTGTTTTAATCCTGTTTCATGATTATCTCTTCATGTTCATGTTTGTGTCTCTGCAGAATGCGACGTTTGTTGACAGTGACGCTGCTGCTGCTCGTGGCTCTGACGCTCCCCACCGAGGCCACTAGAAGAGCCAAGAACCACAAAGGTCAGATACTTAAATAACAGTGAACTCATTTCTATCTTCTTCTGACCAGGATCAGTTCCCTGTGAAGCAGAACCCTTCAATCTGATATCATTTGAAAGAACCGCCAAGATTATGTTATTATTATTTTAGACTCAATATATAACCAGACTCAAGCGTCTACGTGAGGCGGCACTATGACACAGTACTGCTTTGAGCTAAATGCTAACATGCTGATGTTCAACAGTACAAATACACAATCGGAAATGTCTTACTGTACTTACTCTGATGTAGCTTTACTCCAATGCAGCCTGAGATATTATAGGATAGTACATTTTGTTACTAAACATTTTCACGTTGGTTGAGGTGGAACTTAAAAGCTAATACAGATAATTCGGTAACAACACGTCACATTTTATAATGTTTTATCTGTAAACTTTAGCTGTCAGAGGAATGTACTGGAAGTAAAGTAAAAGTACTGTAAAGTACAGCAGTAAATGTACTTAGGTACTTTCCACCACTGAATCTAATTAATGTCATAAATTAAGAAATGTTTGATTGTTAATTCACAAACTAAATCTGGAGATTCGACGTGTTGCAGCAGTTATCTTTGAGATGACAGGTTGTAATTTTCTTCAACCTGTCCGTCTGCTTCTGATTGAACTTCACATTTCTCAGAATGCATTTCATGACAGCAGGAATGTAAATGTACAGTTTGTGTCCTGTTAAGGAGTGACAATGAGTATGAACCTGATGAACACGTGTTAATTTCTGTCTTCAAAGTCAAGACGCATTCAGGCCTCATCTGGTTTTACCGGTTTGTTTCGTCCTCACACTCGAGATCACGTTTCGATCTGAACACAGACTTGTGGCAAACAAACCCAGGACTTTCACCCAGGAGACGGCTGTTTGTGTATCATGTAAACCATTGTTTCACTTTCACTTTACATATTTCATATTTTTAACCCAAACCACAATCTTTTCCGAAACATAAGCAAGTGTTTATGTTTGAATTCACTACGTTAACCACCTGTTTACTGAGGCCCGATTTTGAAGCTCTGAGTGATGCAGTGTTAGAAACTTCCGGTTCTTTAAAGTTCTTCAAAGCTTCATGTGTTAAAGCTGCATTCTCTGTAGTGTCCACGTGCTACACGGTGATTGACAGCTCGTATACGGCGTCTCTACGTCTCTTCTCCTCAGTCCAGATATGGTCACTTCCTGTTCACTGGTTTTCACGGACAAAACGTCAAAATCGAGGCTTAGTTTGTAAGCAGAATATTTTATGATTTTGATTTCAAAACAGTGGAGTGAATCTGAAAGTGTTTGTACTCTGTCAGAGGTCTGCAGACTGTAGATCAGCTGTTGTTGTGGTTCTTCTGACTGTGACTCCTCCACCAGGTGGGAAACATGAGAAGACTCGGCCGGCTTCAGAATGCTCCGCTGCAGAGACTCAGTACGGGAAATGTGTCCCTGAACACGGAGACTGTGGAGACGGTCTGAGAGAGGCCACCTGTAGAGACCAGACCGACAAGATCCACTGCAAGATCCCCTGTAACTGGAAGAAGGACATCAGTAAGACCTGATACACACACACACACACACACACACACACACACACACACACACACACACACACACACACACACACACACACACAACCAACATGACACCGTTTTAATCAATTCCTTCATTATTCAATCAGTAAATAAATCAATTAGTACATTGATCAATAACAATAATAGTACAACACTCACAGTTTGAATAATTTAACTACATTTTACTGAATATACTGACACACCTCTATATTTATAATATATTTATAATATTTGTATACTGTTGTATTAGTACTTTAACTGTTATATATTTTTACAGCGTGGTATTAGTAAAGGATATGATCTTCATCATAACTCTTCATCTTCATCTTTTCTCTCTGAGGATCTGTTTTAACACCGTTTGGTTCCTCAGACTGAGATCTGTAGAAACAGGTTCTAGTTATTTTATCTTTTAGATCCTTTAAAGTTATTTATTTCAGGAGGAACTCTGACGATACTTCAGCTGACTGATGAACAAACACTGCCCTCTAGAGGACGGAGGAGCAAAGATATATTCTATTAAACAGTTAATATAATAGTAAATATCTCATGCTTCACTTCATAAGGAGGTGAATACATTACGAAAACATTTAATCAGATGTATTAAGAACATTTAGGATCAAAGTGCAGTACAGACCAACATCAACATGCATCAATAATAAACAAATAAACATAAACACAAGTCAAAAATCAGGAAGATTGAAACTAACACTGGAGATGATAAAAGTAGTACATTGACAACGAGGAAGATGTCGGGTCGATAATAACGACTAAACTAAAGAGAAATCTGCTCTTTATGAATTTATAAATCAAACTTCTACTGAGCTCAGTTACCAGATATTTATCTTATTTAACGTATTGATATTCTCTACTTATATTTACCTCAGGCTGACCAACAGAAGGAACCAGGAAGTCGTTCTCCGTCAACTCTATCAGCTCATAAAGAATCGATTGATTGGTTTAAGTTAACATCAAACTCATTTCTTCCAAATTAAAACCACTGCCTGAAAACAAATAAACCAGAACAAAATAAGACGATATTAAACATAAAGGAAACAGTTAAAATGATCCGCTGGAGGTTCACGACCCGTTTCATCTCCTTTAAAGTTCCCGGTTTTAATTTGAAGGTCTTCAACATGGATTACGTCTCCAAACAGAGCAGAATGTTTTATATAAAGAACTGAACGTCTACGTGTGGTGTTCCTCCTCCAGGTGACTGTAAGTATAAGTTCGGTCCGTGGGGATCCTGCGACGTCGACACCAACACCAAGAGCCGGTCAGGAACCCTGAAGAGAGTGCTGTTCAACGCCGAGTGTCAACCCACCGTCAAGGTGTCCAAACCCTGCTCCCCCAAAGTGAAGAAGACCAGAGGTGAGAGCTGAGAGTCAAACGGAATTTGTAAAATCATGGAAAGAATTTCCACACAATTAAACTGCTTTCTTTAAGCATTGAACAATTATGTTGGTCCAACTTAATGTACGACTGTAAAATGAGTTTGATCAACCCTATTAAGTTAAGTCAGACCCAACCCTAGTAAATAAGTTGAGCCAACCCAAATGAATTAGGTTGGTCCAACATAACTACTTAATGCTTAAAGTAAGCAGTTTAATCATGTTGAAATTCTTTCCATGATTTTATCAAGTTCATTGAAAGTGTTGTTTCTTTTTAGTGTGTCTGCTCCGATATTCAATCAACAAAACAAATTGCATTCTTAGGACAATTTGAAAACAGTTTTGAGAGTTTCACTCTGGAATTTAGAATTTCATTTTGAACAGAATCAGAATTTTATCATTCATGTCACTAAATTAAATATTTACGTCTCTGGTAGAGACCTGTCAATCACTGTGTAGCCCCGCCCCTAGAGCATACATTACATTACAGTCATTTAGCAGACGCTTTTATCCAAAGCGACTTACAATAAGTGTATTCAACATCGGTATTCAAGAGAACTACTAGTCAACAGAATTCATAAGTGCATCTCCTTTAAACAAGCATCTAACAGCATAAACCAGAGCAGAAGTACAGAAACAAACTACTACCAATACAATAAGTGCAACAAACTTTATACCCTGCTTTATGATCGCTCAGAGACCTGTCAATCACTGTGTAGCCCCGCCCTAAAGCATCCCCTGCTTTATGGTCTGTGTGACTCTAAATGGACCATAATGTACTAAATGAACATCATGCTGTATTGAAGAAGACTTGAAACTAGAGATTGAGACCATAAACTCATGTTTACAATGTTTACTGAGGTAATAAATCAAGAGAGAAGTAGAGTCATTTTCTCATAGACTTCTATACAGAGAGAGTTTCCTGCTTTGACCTTGAAATAAAATGTCAAAAGTTAAAGATGAACAACATTCGATTTAAAGCGATTTGATTCCGCTTATTGTTGCTCTCTAAATCATCATATTTGTGGTTTAAAGGTACAGTAATGCTGCTGGAGCTGAAAGAGACTAATGACCTTTACTCTCTCTGTTAACTAACAAACAACTAGTTTCAAGTTTTATATATAAATATAAGTAACATAAGTAATATAAGTAGTATATAAATACAAGAAATATAAGTAGTATAAGTAGAGCTGAGGGACTGGTGAGTAAAGGAGATGATTGACGGACTGAATGAACTCTTTGATACTCGTTCTCTCTTCAGGGGAGAAGAAGTCAAACTGAAGGATGAACAGAAGAAGACGGATTTCTTCCTCCTCCTCTTCTCTTCTTCATCAAAAGAAGAACGAGACTCCAAAACCTTTGATTCTCTTTTGACTTCTTCTGATTTGATGTATTTGTGTTTCTTTGGGTTAAAGTAAGGAGAGCTTTTCTCTAGATGATAATACTAATAACGATGATAAATATTAACTGTGTCCTTGTAGCTCGTAGTTAGTTGAACAGTACACGTAGTCCTCACAGCTTTTTACAGCAACTGATGTTAAATTAACATCCATCCATTCTGAACCAGTTTTAAAATATGTACAAAATTAGAAATGAATCTGTAACGGAAAAATAAAAATCCTCTATGAAATCTATTTTTTTGAACTATAGATGATTGACGTAAGATGAGAACACAATAAATACTGAACGTTGTTTTGGTGACGAGTCTTTTCTTTGTTCTCCATGAAAGTAAATTGAAGTTTCTTTACGTGTTTGTTGACTTCCAGATGTTTGCACGTGTCCAAAATCACTGTTTACAAAACTATACTATGACTCTTTATGACTCTTTTCATGCTATGACAGGAAAAAGCTTCACTCACAAGAAACGGTGTCACTTCAGGATTTATTCAGTGTTAGTGATCAGCTGCTCATCACTGAAACTGTGAACATCAAACTGATCACCAGTGTTGATCGCAGAGCCAAAGAGACAAACGTCCTCATCGTTCACGTCTCTGAGCAGCTGACGGACAGAAAACACTTAAAGCACAAACACAAAGTCTACATGTGGATCTCTAGTTGGACTCTCAGTCACTGATGGTCTCAGTTCTCTGTCCTCACGTCTCCGATGGACATGAAACTGTCCTCTTCAATCCTCAGAACAGAAGATGAACTGTGGCTTTGGTTTCACTTTTGTTAAATGTCGAATCCGTACGCTCAGTGATCAGAGAGACCACATCCTGAGGTGGTCCAGCTCACATGGAGTTCAGATCTCAGAGAGGTGAGGACACAGTGAGGACACAATGAGGTCACAGTGAGGACACAGTGAGGACACGAGGACAGTTTATCAGACGTCTGTCTCCATCATCTTCTGAGGAGATCAAAGGGAGGAGGAGGACACCTGCTGATGAAAACACCAAATTTCTTCAAAATAAAAGCTTATAAATAACCATATAATGAGGACTTTTATTGTGAAACTTTGAACAGAAATCAAATGCGTTTACAGCGGCTCCTCTGACCAGGAAATATATATTCGATCACAAAAGTCTCATTGAAAAAGACAAGAAAATATCTGGTTCTTTGAAAGAGAAGTCAACTACGACTCCCAAGGTGCATTGCAGCAAGAAACATCCAATCACAGAGCTCAAAAAAAAAAAAGAGAAAACTTCAAATCATTTACTTTTGAATTTTGGTCAGTTTTGATTTCAGTTGATTCGACAAAGTGACAACTTCACGACTTCTTCTGCTGAGGCTCATGGGAGTTGTAGTAATTAGAGCAACTCGATAAGGTCCAATAATGATGATGTCATAAATAAATCCGATGGTCAGATCACAAAACTACAGAATCCGTAGTTGACGATCATGCAGGAGATCGTGAGGAAGAAACCACTAAATAGATCCTCAGGTATCGTGTCATGTGACCATTACATTACATTTACATTACAGTCATTGAGCAGACGCTTTTATCCAAAGCGACTTACAATTCAGAGTCCATCACATTTCTACACCGTAGGCACAGCTACGGGAGCAATTTTGGGGTTAAGTGTCTTGCTCAAGGACACATCGACATGCGACTAGCAGAGCCGGAGTTCGAACCGCCGACCCTCTGATTGAAAGACGGCCCTGCTATCCACTTAGCCACAATCGCCCCAAATACTGAGTCGACCAGTGGACACCAAATCAACGTCCTCTAAGTCTCACCGCAGCTTCCTGCTCTGGCAGCGCAGGAGGCTACAGAAGGTCTTCCTGAACGTGACGTTGCAAAGGGCGTAGCAGCCGGGGTTGATGGCGCTGTTGACGTAGCAGAGCCAGTAGCCGGCGCTCCACAGGACACCCGGCACGCACACGTGACAGAAGGCCGCCACGACGGCCATGATGTTGTACGGCATCCAGGTGAGGATGAAGGCCAGCAGGATGGCCAGGATGGTCTTGGTGACCCTCCTCTCTCTCGCCATCACTCGACGCCTCCGTCTCTCCTGAGACCTGAAGCTCGGACAGGAGGAGAAGGCCGCCGACGCCGTCCTGTGGAGGTCGGCGTTGGACGAGGAGTCGGTGTCGATCTTGTAGTCCTCGTCCCCGGCGGAGGTCCGAGCGTGACGCCGCTGAGGCTCCAAGGCGTCGCCCGCACTTACGGACACCTTCCGGTTCTTCCGGTTCTTTGGAGTGCCAGACTCCGATTGGTTCAGAGACACGTCTGAGACCGGGTCGCTGGTCACCAAGCTCCGTTGTTTCAAGAGGAAGTCTTTGACGGACGGATTCGACGCTCTGAGCGTTCCCTGCTCCCACCGGAGCGCGCTCAGTCGGCCGCGGCTGGCGGCGGACAGCCGGCCGTAGAGGCCGACCATGACGAACGCCGGCAGGTAGAAGGAAGGAAGCGTTGTGCCCAAAGTGACGGCGGGGCTGGCGAGGAGCTGAGTGTGACACTCGCCGTCGGGCACGACGCGCTTCCCTCCGAGCGTCTGCCAGCAGAGGATGGCCGGCGCCCAGAGCACGAAGGACAGCAGCCAGGCGGCGCCGATCATCAGACCGGCCATGCCGCCCGTCCGCCACGCCGGGTAGCTGAGTGGCTGCGTCATGCAGAAGTACCGGTCCAAGCTGATGATCAGCAGGTTCATGACGGAGGCGCCGCTCACCACGTAGTCCACCACCAGCCACATGTCGCAGGCGGCGGCCCCCAGGGGCCAGCGGCCCCGCAGCAGGTAGAGCGAGTACAGGTTCATGGAGAGCAGGCCCACGATCAGGTCGGCCACCGCCAGGCTCAGCAGGAAGTAGTTGTTGACGGTGCGCAGGCGGCGGTTCACCTTGATGGACAGGATTACCAGAGTGTTGCCCATCACTGCGACGACGCTGAGGGAGGCGGTTAGCGCGGCGATGAGGACCAGCCGAGCCGTGCCGTAGGGACACGCCCCTCCGACCGGAGACCGACAGGAGGCGTTGACGCAGGGGCGGAGCCAAAGGGAGGTGGTGTTGAGGTTGGGTTCAGGTGCTCCTCCCATGTTCCCTGAAAACACACGTCCAGGTGCATTATGGGTAGAATTAGGTACCAGATTTAGAGTGAATATCTGCTAATCAGTGTAGCATCAAAGCACGTTGGAAGCTAACTAGCGGACGGCTGGCTACTTAGCTAGCTTGCTAATTCCACCATGTTTACAAAAAACAATCCGAACACGGTCGTCACTGATCTGTTGACATTAATGTGATTTTACTCATTTAGTGGGCTAGCTAGCTAGCTAGCTAGTTAGCTACATTGCTAATTCCACCATGCTATGTTCATGCTACACTGGTGAGAGAGTAACGAGCAGCTCTGGAGATGGACAGTGTTGCCAGATTGGGTTTGTTTCCCACTTTGGATGTAATTTAAGCTGCTCTTGTTTAAGAGTTTTTAAAATATTACCAAACAAAATGTAGTTTTATGTCAAAATCAAAGACACCCGAATCAGTAAACTTCATATTGTTAAATTAAGATGAAATGACCTTTGTACAGTTTGTGTTTCACGTTCTCTCTCTTTGAGTTGTGTCACTAATCTTTAGTTATTTATATACATTGAACTATTTTAGCAGCATTTTTTAAACAAATAGTTATGAAGTATATGAAGCTTCAACAGTGTTAAATATATACGTAAATCTATAAAGTGAACTAACTATATAAACATCTGAAAGCATGTTTTCTTCCGCTCGGCCTCATATTTATGATTCATAACACAGTGTGCTGCTGAGTTGTGTTCAGGGACAGTAATAAAAAGCAGGACTGCTGGAGCCTTTAGTCATTTAACAGAGAATACAGAAAACATGACGTCTTTGAACGCCTCGTTTTACAGAATATTCAGATTACTGAGATAAGAAACAAACATCCGAGACGTTTGTTTCTTTATGTTGATCATAAATAATCAACGATATCACATCTCTTTTAATCTATTAGGAGGAAATATATTAAAACCAAAATTATAATAGAAATATTGATTTATACATAAATCTAATCTGTGAATCTTTAAGAAGTTTAATAAATCAAATTATTTCAGCAGAGCTGCAACAATGTTTCATAAACTGATGTTTCTCGTCTTATTGTGAAAGTGAAATGATTTCTGTATTATTTGAAGTTTCTGGTGTTTTTTGAACTAAAAGGTGATAAATGATCTTTAGTTACAGCATCATCATCATGTTTATTATTCATGTTAAACGGGCCCTCGAGGGCCTCGGGCCTCAGTGAGGAACCCACAACTAAACGAGCTGAATGTTCGTCACAAAATATCCACAAAAGATTTTTACATGATTAACATTAAATAACTTTAAATAATGTCCTGATGACAAGAAACTAGAGAACAGCAGAAAGAGGTTTAATTTAACTCACCAGAGACTCTGGACCTGCTGATCTTAGACCTGATCTTAGACCCGATCTTAGACCTGATCTTAGACCTGATGTCTCCTCAGCTCCGTCAGTCGACAGCAGTTTATATCGTTTCCTTCTCTCAGAGAGAGAGAGAGACACACAGAGAGAGAGAGACACACAGAGAGAGAGAGAGGGGGAGACAGAGAGAGAGAGAGAGAGGGGGAGACAGAGAGAGAGAGAGAGAGGGGGAGACAGAGAGAGAGAGGGGGAGAGAGAGAGAGAGAGAGAGAG